TTATTTAAAACCACGAAACACCAGCGCAAGGAACGGTACACCACTAGAAAGTCTTCTCTTACGCACGGTCTGGAGTTTCAGAAATGACAACAATACATTCACGAGTGTATACGCATTCAGAACAAATATACCATCACAAACTGATACATGTGTCTCTATAACTGAAAATATATGTTACTTTAAACATTTTCTCTGCCTATTTACAAATACAGAACTAACATTTAATTCCCAGATACGAATGATGCAAGCAAAATTTGTAATGTGCGTAATGTTTATTTTAATAAAACAATTGCGTGTAATGCAATCGACCGTTAAAACGTAAACCAAACGAAAAACAAACAAGAAACATGAAATCTGCTGTCATTTCCAGATAAATTTATTCGCTTGAGAGTACACACTCTCTCTGATTGCGATTCGCTCAAAAGTGGCATATACTGTTCCATAAAACACAATTACAATATTATTTGACTAGAAATATGTTAATTTACAAAGCTGATTGAAGTGCTGCCCAAACACGACGAGTAATTGATAAATTATAACACGTACACATGGTTCAACAAATATTCAGAGCATGTGTATTTCGTTATAAATAATTATTTTAATAAAAGATAACGCGGAGTGCTCAAAACGAGGCAATCGACACTTAGAACAACTTAGTTTTATGAAAAAAAACTCAAGTTTCATCAAATACCTTTCATTTTCGTTACTTCTCGTTTAAATCAGCGGTGAATAATTAGTATCCCACGGCTGTTAAACTGCTGAAGTTTCCATTCGGCTAATTTCACAAAATATAAAATTAAAAAAATACAAATATTTACAAATCCCGCAAGTTTAAAGCAGGTATTCACCGTAACCCGTCATATCCCTGCCTCTATTAGAAGCCAGCTTGAATGACACCGTCTGCTGCCTCTCTATTATAATACATCATCATCTTGTCAGCCCTTAACAACATAATAATTTTACTTACATTCACAAGCGGATCCAGCGATAAGCAATTTGTCTGACGGGATGAGATGCCTCACCTGGCTAACCATTCCAACCCTCTCCTGAGTTGTTAGAAGTGGGTACTCGCCATTAGACCCCTGAACAACATACCCTGCGTACACACAAACAAAACATCCTTGCGTCTAGTACAAGAACCACAGCGTGGATGGTCTTTAACCAACAAGGTTAAACGGGGTTTTCTGTACGTAATTTCGGGTACTTCAGATAAATATATACATTGAAGTTCATACAATATGCACTTAACATTAAACAAAAAATAAAAATATTTTCTGTCTCAGATTTTTGGTTCTGACGTAAATTGTGGCAGAACCCTGAAGCTGGAGGTAATACGTTCCTCTCAAATATTAGTATCCACACAATCGAGAAAACCACTATCGATATTTTCTGAGTGTGACTACCAACAGAGCAAACAAAAATGTGTATCGGAAATAAATTATCGTCAATATCGTCTTAACCCTTTGAAGCCGAAGATCGTCTGAATATTATTTATGAATTCAGTCCGTACCGCGAAGAAAACACTACACCTCACCATTACGAAAATCAGCTGGTTAACCCTTTGAAGCCGAAGCTCGTCTTCATAATATTTACGAATCCAGACCGTACCGCGAAGAAAACACTTCACTTAACCATTAGAAGTCGAATCAGGCGGTACCACATAAGATTTAACAAAAGAACATCCCGGTCAAAGCCTTAAAGAACACATTTTGAAAATATAATATACATTTTGATAGAAGACATAATAATAGTTTCTTTCGTAATGGTTTTGTACAACAGACAGAGGAATTGGGAAGGAACATTATGACCAACACTCCTTGGTGGCAGAACTCGTAGGTCCAACACCGACAACACCCTCATGTATAACCTCTCTTCTCTAAGAATTTATTGATTCACGGAATTTAATTACAAAACGTAGTCCAGGTTCCTGGGGAGATTTATGCAGGTCTTCCTCAACGCCGTCTGTTTGAATAATGCACATTTCAAGCGGCGACTTCTCAGGAATCTCCTGACTCAGCTCCATCAATTCTCTCGACTCCAAACGCCAATCAGCAACATTTGGTTTCTGGTTTGTGGTTTCACTGAACCTAAGGTTAATGAAGCTCTTTCAACTGTAGAGATTATAAGTATCACGTAACTACGCGTTATAAAAAGTGTATAAAAGCAAAAGTTGCCTAACATCATCTGATTTAACCGATGGCTATTTAACGACGGTGTTTCAGTTCCAAACGGTATTTATCGTTGAACAAGATAGGAATGTTATAATAAATGAAAAAGTAGATATAGGTTTATAATGAAGTGGCTGTGGACTATTTTAAGATGATATCTTTGTATAGAGAACCCAAGAAGAGACTAAAGGACCTTAAGTATCAGCATTGTTCTGTATAAGATTTAACAATTAATTAATGTTATACTGATTTGAACTGTCAGAAATGTTCTTAGCTTATTTCTTCAAAAACTTAAACATATATGACGAGCAGTTCATGTTAACCGTGTCATACCGGCTAACACTTACAAAATAAAAAAAAATATGTCTTACTTTCGTGGTTTAGTCCAGTGGTTTTCAACCTGGGGTACGCGAAGACATCTTAGGGGGTACGTGAAATTTAAAAAAATATATTATTTTATGTTAAACACTGAATAATCAGTAATGTAATTTATTTAATTTATTTTAAATGTAGATTATATACTATGTATAACTTGAATTACACACCAACAACTTTGGGGGGTACAAAGTTGAAGGGAAATTATATCTGGGGGTACGCGAACAAAAAAAGGTTGAATACCACTGCTTTAGAGGATAAACTGCGGGTAACAAATGTAATAACGCCTGGCTGCCTGCGTTGTATTTGATCGGTTCTACTTTGTTCCAACGAATGGTAAATTACTGAACCACGAAAATAAGACACAAGACTTTTCCAAAGTGTTAGCCGGGCTAACACAGTCAAAGTTTACTCTCCACCCCTGATGACGTTGTTACAATAGCCCAAAATAAAACACCTAATTATAAGCTTAGTAAAAAATGTCTGAGCGAAACTTCCACTAGTAAAAATTCCAATTACTTAAATACGCCTCTATTCGCAGTCTCCTTATCTGTAACTGACTTGCAACAAAAATTATCTGATGATGGACGTAGCAAACTTCTACCAGACACCTCACAGTCGAGCGTTTCCTTCTCGATCCTTTAAATTTAATTTTACGTTACGTAACCTCTGATACAAGGACAGGTCACAGTTCTGTGTCGCACTCTGTACGTATTGATGTATTACCAGCATTCTGGTACAACATCAATTCTGCAGTGCTCTGGTAATTACAGACACGTCAGAATCCCACTGAGACGTTCGCGTGATCCAGCCTCTGACACGCAGGTGGAAGACAAGGGTCGGTCAGATTATATTGCATTCCCTTATAATTAAAACTCATTATAACCACGGAATGCAGCTCCATGGAACAATCTTTCGTGAGAAGTTGACAATCGCCCAGTAAAACAAATTACCCAAACTTTCATGGCTGTTGGGTAACAAATCTGGTCCTTTGTAGCGCAGTCCTACTTTTCAATCTTAGAGGTATATATTTTAAATTCCTTCCTGCTTACGGCGTCAAAATACATCAACATAAATTAATACAATGAAAAGTATGGTTCCATAAACGGTAGAATATTAATTGGCTAGGTAATCAACTATTAGCTGCTCCATGGACAGTTAAAATATCATCTTCAGTGACGAATAAGGCAGGTTTATTTTTTAAAGCGTTTGTGGTAAAGAATGAATGTTCAGTTTTAGCGAGTAAAACCTGACATAAACTTTCCCCCAACTACAAGATCGTCGCTGATAAGATTTTCTGACTTGCAATGCGTCGTACATGTTTCTCTCGCCAGGAGGAGTTACTAGCTACAAGCCCTGTAACAGACGCATCTGAACCTTCACACTCCAGTGTCAGACAAATGACACGAAGACCAGTGAGAAACGCTGCACTAAAGGAATTTAAAACCACACCCTCCTTCTTTACCGATCGGCTCAAAGACACCAGTGTCCTGGAGCTCAAAGTAGTACACGTTCCTCGCAGTTGCGTATTAAACCAGGCGCAAATAACTGTCTTGACCTGTGAATGTACGTTTGGCCAAGCATGTAAGAAAATAGGTCACTCGCAAATATTCGCATCGTATCGCGAGTGAACCAAAACACAAGGTTACTGCGTCATGGCACGTGAGTTGACAAAGTTACGTCGAGCAAAGTGAATGCACTTTGTGGCCTTAAGAGCGTTGATGAACTAACCTTGAAATGGTACCTTCTCCCAGTGCTGAAAGTTGCTTGCCAATTTGTCGAAAGCAATGCTTTCATCTTCATTGAAAGGTGTAGGGATGGGAGGAAAGATTCCTGATAGATCCACCGAAACAGCAGAAGTTCTGCTAAAATAGCGATTTGTAACTAGTTTAACTTTCTCCACAACACACGTCCAGTTTGCAGGAGACAGCACACGTGGAAACAACACCCAAGAAACCATCATAAGTGCGTCACACCTTCAAATTTAAAGACTTGGATGTCTATGGACACTTCTCTCACAATCCACACAAGTAGCTCACGTTTTTGGGACTCCTGGCTGAAATATTTTTAGATCCTGAACATTGAGGCACACAGCAAGACCGACTCACGTGACAGTTCACCATTTGACACAGGGATTTTACACTTTCTAACACAAGTACAATTTATAAAGCTGATAATAAAGCAAATGCGTGTATATTAGGTCCACGTAGTTAAACTATCATCCATACACGTGACAACTTACTAAAAAAAAGTACAGTTTTGTCTTAAACGCTTGATCTAACCTTGCCTGCTTCGTATCTAAGGCAGAGAAATAACAAGCCTTGTTTAGCTGATGCAAAGAGTTTCACTCGTAAAGACGATTTACTCAGTCTTGTTTAGCAGATGCAAAGAGTCTCACTCGTAAAGATAATTTACTCAGCAACGTCACAGAGCGTCATCATTCTCAGGTTTCTTAGTTTGATTGACGTAGCCTACTGGCGAGTTACATCTCTGACAGCAGAGTTCGATCCAATCTGAGCCATTTTAAACCACTTATATATTCTCGCAAATTTCTCCGTAAGAAATATTATAATGTATGTTATTATCCTGACTCTATTTCGGCCATCGAAACGAACGCTTTCCCGTTAAACGCCAATGGCAACTTGTCTTCTGCATTTCCAATCCACCATAATCACCCTTGTTTTAATATCCTGCTCAAGTTATGATGGTCATCGTTACGCAAAATGCCAAACAGATCGCTTTAATTTATCCCAGGCCCAGGTATTTTCCCATTCGGATATATACGAATTATATTTTCTCCTATGGTTACCTCGCTTCATAACATTTAAGTACCCCTACGCAGTGAAAATCATGCATATTCAGTTTTTTTTTTCGATACTTACCGATGTAATGAGGAATAGTAACTCAAGATGGCCGCATATTGGACAAGCAGTGTATTTCCTCATGTTTCGTGTTTGAAACCACTGAAAATATTTCTGTTGCTCTCATTAAACGTAGGCTATAAATCGTTGGGCGATATCAGATGTCCAAAATAATCCTCGCTTCATTTGGAGTGAACTTATCTGTTATTAAATCAGACCAACAAACTTGTTGCGTGTCATAAATTACACGTTTCATTGAAATCTACAAGTATGATTAGATTTTTGAGGGGGCATGATTAAAATGTCTCTGCTAGAATACATAAAAGAAATTGAATCAATTATGAAGTTCCTTCTACACAGAAAATGTATTTTTCAATCACATTTCTTGTTTTGTTTACATGTACCACAGAAGTCAAAGAATCTGCTGGCCCGTCTATATCACGAGTGGAAAAATGTAAATACCCACGATGAAAGAATCTATAGTCTACAAGTGATTGGGTGGATATCAATGTTTCTGCGTGTCATGATTAACAAGATAAATCCCTGTCTGTGATGGGGACTGAACATTCTGACTACTGACACTATCATCAACTTCTCTTAGCGTACATTTTGTATGCATACTCTGAGCAACAGTGTTTTTAATGAAGTAGGCGAGGACAGACTCTCTCTTTTCCACAGAAGTTCCTCAGGACCAGCAAATGTTTACCTTTTTGCCTGTTTTCGCATCACGTTTACTTTAGTTCGTTTAACTCTAATGACAATGACAAGATTAAGACTAATGAACTGTAACCAGATAGGTTAGGTTTTAAGATGAAGAATATTAAGAGTTACTCTTTAAACCCGTTAGAACACAGTGGTAATTACAGTCTTTATATTACATTCAGTAACTCTACAATTTGCTTACAGAGTGTATTTATATATTTTTCATAGCAGTTATAACCAAATGATCTCAGTAATAGAGACGAGTTATGTTTTATTTGTTCAAAGAGTTAAAATAACGCTAAAACAATTTTTAATCGTTCATATAAATGTGTGTGTTTCATGACGTAATTTGAAGTTACTGGTATTATTTATTTAATATCTAATTTAGAATTTTATAAGTAAGTATTTTTATAGTTTAGATGCGTTTTATGTTTGTGTTTAAAATTCAAATATATATTTATTATTCAAGTCTATACACAAACTTTTAAAATTGTTGGTGTTAAAATTTAAAATTAATATTAATATTTTGCGCCATTCATCGTTATCTCGATATCTCGCAATATTGTAACATCGAGATAACGATGAATGGCGCAAAATATTAATATTAATTTTAAATTTTAACACCAACAATTTTAAAAGTTTGTGTATAGACTTGAATAATAAATATATATTTGAAGTAAGTATTTATTTGAAATAAATGTACAAAATAATGGTTGTTATGGGGAAGTAAATGTCAACCTATAAAGCTGTTATATATAGCACTCATGAGCGGAATTCGACCAGATTTGTTATATTGATTTCTACACTGAACGTTCCCGATTCTAGCTCACAGTACACAGGACGAAACACAAAGCATCAAAGGAAGACAACCAAAGTCCAACTACGATCATAAGCAAATAACAGCAGGTACAGAACAAAACGTTAAAAAAGATACATCTAACGCAATTCGAAAGCAAATACGAGCTTTTGGATATAAAGACTGCGGCATATCAACGTTAAATAGAACACACAAAACAACGAACAGCGGAACACGGCGAACTTGCTGATGAACAAACGTGAATTTGCAACGCTTAGTGGCACAAAGGACTGATAATTGACCGTGTGTCTTATATTTTACCCCATGGCATCCTTAAAATTCTTATTGGTAAATAAATGTGAGTTACGTTACTTACAGCGGCACATAATAGCACGACAAATTATACTGGTGCATAATCTTGGGACATTTTGCTTTTGTCTATCGATTTAAAGAAAACACGCGACGTTTCGTCATTAGTTGAAACCGTACTAAGTAATCAGTCGGGTCCATTCAACAGCTCTAATCTTAGGCCCCGGGATTTTAACTGTCCCCCTCTGACTAGGTTGTATGTTTTTACCCGTTGTCGTAAGCATAACAAAATTCCGAAACGTCTTATGTCTTAAAATTGTATTTTTTAATTAATTGGCGAAGAAAAGTGTACATCATTTTAATGACACGCTTTAGTCATAAACTAATAAAAATACGTTTTAATTGATAACCTGATTTTTAACTTGTGTTTCACCACAGTGAAAATTCAATATCTGTCCCTTTAACAATAGGAACAAACAAAATTTTGAAAATTGGTTTCCAAAACACAATGTAAAAAGTGAATCCATTTGACAACATGCCTGTGAAATTATACCAAGTAACAGAAGTGGAAATTGTGTAATGACACAACACGTAGCCGATAAAATTATGTAATCACTGTCGCGTAATTGAAAACAATACATGACGGCAAAGTTACAACATGGATGAGTTTAAATGTAACTTTTATTGGTCCAGTATCCTACACGAAACTTAAACTGTAGGCCTAAAGATTTCGGCAACAAATTAAATGCTCCTAACTAACTAACTAACTAACTCCCTGGTAGCAGAACCCGTAGGTCCAACTTGATATTATTCTCTCATTTACTTTTTGGTCTGGCCAGTGATCGTTTTCCAGGAGGATACCTTAACAAAATTCTGTATGCGTGCTATACGTCCAGACCATCTGAGTCTCCTAGATTTCATTATCTTCACTAGGCTAGGTGATCCGTACAATTCATACACCTCCTCGTTATGGAATTCCCCAATTATTTCGTCCTTCCAGGGTCAAAATATCTTCCCGAGCACCTTCTTTTCAAACACATGTTATCAGAGTGAACGTTACGGATGCCATTGTGGAATGGTGGTATAAGACTAAAGAGAGAAGTAATATCAGCACTGCACTCTCGTTCCCTATCAATCCGATTTAACCCTTTCTGGACCACACACGATATATATTTTAGAAATAAACTGTTCGTTCTAAATGTATCTGGTTTTGGACAAAATCAGTGCAACGGAAGCTCTTTGGCCTTGGACATTAATTAAAGAAAAACAGAATGGACGGTGCGGACTGAACTCGTGTCTCAGGACGGCGCGATAGGCTCTTGTGAGCACGGTAATGAATCCGCGTATTACATAAAAGGTACGGAATTGGACCACCTGTATTTATTTGAAATAAATGTACAAAATAATGGTTGTTATGGGGAAGTAAATGTCAACCTATAAAGCTGTTATATATAGCACTCATGAGCGGAATTCGACCAGATTTGTTATATTGATTTCTACACTGAACGTTCCCGATTCTAGCTCACAGTACACAGGACGAAACACAAAGCATCAAAGGAAGACAACCAAAGTCCAACTACGATCATAAGCAAATAACAGCAGGTACAGAACAAAACGTTAAAAAAGATACATCTAACGCAATTCGAAAGCAAATACGAGCTTTTGGATATAAAGACTGCGGCATATCAACGTTAAATAGAACACACAAAACAACGAACAGCGGAACACGGCGAACTTGCTGATGAACAAACGTGAATTTGCAACGCTTAGTGGCACAAAGGACTGATAATTGACCGTGTGTCTTATATTTTACCCCATGGCATCCTTAAAATTCTTATTGGTAAATAAATGTGAGTTACGTTACTTACAGCGGCACATAATAGCACGACAAATTATACTGGTGCATAATCTTGGGACATTTTGCTTTTGTCTATCGATTTAAAGAAAACACGCGACGTTTCGTCATTAGTTGAAACCGTACTAAGTAATCAGTCGGGTCCATTCAACAGCTCTAATCTTAGGCCCCGGGATTTTAACTGTCCCCCTCTGACTAGGTTGTATGTTTTTACCCGTTGTCGTAAGCATAACAAAATTCCGAAACGTCTTATGTCTTAAAATTGTATTTTTTAATTAATTGGCGAAGAAAAGTGTACATCATTTTAATGACACGCTTTAGTCATAAACTAATAAAAATACGTTTTAATTGATAACCTGATTTTTAACTTGTGTTTCACCACAGTGAAAATTCAATATCTGTCCCTTTAACAATAGGAACAAACAAAATTTTGAAAATTGGTTTCCAAAACACAATGTAAAAAGTGAATCCATTTGACAACATGCCTGTGAAATTATACCAAGTAACAGAAGTGGAAATTGTGTAATGACACAACACGTAGCCGATAAAATTATGTAATCACTGTCGCGTAATTGAAAACAATACATGACGGCAAAGTTACAACATGGATGAGTTTAAATGTAACTTTTATTGGTCCAGTATCCTACACGAAACTTAAACTGTAGGCCTAAAGATTTCGGCAACAAATTAAATGCTCCTAACTAACTAACTAACTAACTCCCTGGTAGCAGAACCCGTAGGTCCAACTTGATATTATTCTCTCATTTACTTTTTGGTCTGGCCAGTGATCGTTTTCCAGGAGGATACCTTAACAAAATTCTGTATGCGTGCTATACGTCCAGACCATCTGAGTCTCCTAGATTTCATTATCTTCACTAGGCTAGGTGATCCGTACAATTCATACACCTCCTCGTTATGGAATTCCCCAATTATTTCGTCCTTCCAGGGTCAAAATATCTTCCCGAGCACCTTCTTTTCAAACACATGTTATCAGAGTGAACGTTACGGATGCCATTGTGGAATGGTGGTATAAGACTAAAGAGAGAAGTAATATCAGCACTGCACTCTCGTTCCCTATCAATCCGATTTAACCCTTTCTGGACCACACACGATATATATTTTAGAAATAAACTGTTCGTTCTAAATGTATCTGGTTTTGGACAAAATCAGTGCAACGGAAGCTCTTTGGCCTTGGACATTAATTAAAGAAAAACAGAATGGACGGTTGGGACTGAACTCGTGTCTCAGGACGGCGCGATAGGCTCTTGTGAGCACGGTAATGAATCCGCGTATTACATAAAAGGTACGGAATTGGACCACCTGAGCCTACTTTCAGCTTCCCCAAAAGGTCTCTGTTCCATGCAGTTAGTTAACTAACAGTCTCCGAGCAGGATTTGAGGCTCTTTCGGCAGTAAGTACGAAGACGGCGTTCTTCTGGTTCGTAGCGCCATGTAGTCTGGTAGATGCGTACCGACATTTCAGAGGTCCTTGCTTCCTCAATCATCAGGGTGAAGTAGGAGATGATGAAGCAGCAAGGACCTCTGAAATGTCGGTACGCATCTACCAGACTACATGGCGCTACGAACCAGAAGACGGCCAGTAACTATTAGCGACTTTCAGCAACAGAAACTAAATGTTAACGTGAGGTAAACTAAGAGAAGTTGTGCTTTTTGTTAAACATTTTATATGTAAAGTGTTAAGGAGAGACATTAACGAGACAAACTACAATGTTACGATACACATCAAAGGACATAAACTTTTTAACCACGCATTTATCATTGTCCGCAGAAACTTCGACAAACGCATTTTACACTGGCAAATAAATGTATTCTTTATATTAAAAATGCCATATCCATTAAAACTGAGAGGCAGTAATTTTTTTTTAATGTTACATGAACAGTCACACAATTTATATGTACATATGAGAATTTCTACAGGGAAAAATATCAAAACTTTTTCCCCAATTTATTTGTTTGCATTAAGTATCATTCAGCCATTACCGTTCAAAACCTCGACTGAAGGTCCTGATTTCTTTAGAAAAAGCTTCCATTTGAATAAAACATTTTTTTTATAAATTAGGGAATTGTACATTTAATACTTTATATAAAAAAAACACATGACAGCAGTCTCAAGTTTCTTGTATAGAAGGAAACTCCAATATTAAACAATATTGTCATGTCTTTGTTGTTAGTGTAGGAGGTATAGGACACGCGGTTCACATGAAAAATTCTTCTGTTGACTCTGAAAGAGAGAGTCACGTCCGAGTAGCAGCGGGTTCATTTAATATTGAAATTTCTATCTGTATAAGAATTAAGATAAATATCAGGTTTTCTGTAAGAATGAACAGAGCACTTCAATATTAACAGGATAATAAATACGGCCATTTTTAACCACACAAAGTAATCAGTGACCACCTGAAAGGTTTAAGACCCTCAGCTGGACACACACGATTAAACATAAATAATGAATAGTATTAAAAATATATTAAAATTGGCCGTCAATCACAATATAAGATAATTAAAAGATTAAAATATCATTTTACGTTCCTTATCGAGTACTCGATTTACATGTGGAACATTTACGACATGTTTCAAGGAACGTAAAATGATATTTTAATCTTTTAATTATCTTATATTGTGATTGACGGCCAATTTTAATATATTTTTAATACTATTTAAATAAATCACAATATGACGCATCTACAATATCTTATAAATAATGAAATATATAAATACATAATATAGCTGAACAGCGTATGAAGGGACGGAAATGGAATGGCTAAAGTCAGGTGGATGAAGACGTCACGGAATTATAATTTACGAGGTAAGGTGTAAGATAAAGACTAAGGATTTTGATTCCAGTACTCGCATTAAGTCGCGTACAATGTAAAGGCAAGGAACGTCTAATCAGAGACGTCCGGGTTTGATCCCAACCACTGCCGCTAACACCAAGAACAGTCAGTACAATGACGGACGATCACCAGTGATGGTAGGACGGTCATGAATCATAAACACATGAGGGATCGGAAGGAGAATATTTGAAGGTATGATCCTCTAAGTTCAGAAGCCAATTCTACTTCCGTCTTCCATCAAATGAGGTTGACTAGTTCGACCACAGTTAGCTTTTGTCCTCCCATTAGTCGCATGAAAAGGAAGCAGAACCAGTGTCTTAAACATTGTGGTTTAAAAACAAATAGACAACAGATAAACAATTAATTATACACAACTTATAAGATGGTTCGAGGGTTACCTACTCAGCGGATAGAGCGAGATGGTCTTTATCATCAGGCCCGTGTCTAATAAAAATACTAAAGCGACTGAACTGCAGTTAAGGATACGACTCTAAGGCCTCTCTCAGTTGGATCTGTGATGAGGAGTCCTCTGGGTGCATATACTCGCTCGTTCTGTTCCACTATGAACTTCGCTACCTTCCGCAGGCACTGTAAAAATTCAAAGTCTGATCAAGTTTAAAATAACAGACAATTAAACTCAAATAACTTCACTTATAGGCCGCTACATGACCACGAGATGGGTACGAGTGATGCTGTCTTATTTATAAAATCAAAAGTTCCAGGGAGTCTAATTCCAAAAAGAGAGAGAGAGAGAGAGAGAGAGAGAGAGAGAGAGAGAGGGAGGGAGGGAGAGAAGCCCGGAGAAAAACATCGCTCCCTCAGGATTGATGAGGGTTGGGCGTGAGTCTGAAAACCTCACTCCATTACCTACGCAACACTTCATGTGTAAAGTTGTTTCAGTGCATACGCATCAAGATGACACGGTCTGGGTTCAAATCTCAGCCCAGAGACCAACTATCCTGACTGGGTTTTTTCCTTGTTTTTCTCAATTCCTTCAGACAAATGCCAGGTTATTACCTTAAATTAGGCCATGAAAATTTCCTTCTACATCCTTTAAAATTCATTATTCACTATCATTCTCTCATTCTGCGTTATATAATCCGAGCTACTAAAAAGTGTCATTAAATAACTATAAATAAAACAAACAAGATGTACATGATGTAAAACTCCACACATTTTTAACTTCGGTACTAACAACATCACGCTCCAGCCACTTTAATCGCTCACGGAAAGATCCCAAAATGAATAAATGAATGGGGATTAAAATAAATATAGTTACCTTCTCATAATGCGTCTCTGTGCATATATAAATAAGATACGCTGTGAGACAAGCCATGCAGCCTTCGCAGTACGTACTGCAGCCAGCCTTTTCTGCCTCTGCGTAAATTGCGTTCAACTGATTAACCGTATACTCAAATGCCTGGCGTTCTATCTGCAAATTCAGAAAGACAACAAAAACCATCCTTACACATACAATACTGGAGTAAACGGTACAATTTGTCATCTGTGCGGCTTGATTCGCGGATCAAGCCCCACGGATGACGAACGAAGAGATACTGAACCCTGCGCGCGCAACTTACAATTGCACGGGGAACAAAGCAAATCACGTGCCACTGCATTACTGTATCAAAGCGGGGGTCCAGAGAAAAACATTAAGCTAATGTCTGAAACGTCACGTAGGAATGACAGATATCCCCATGCTCCAATGGGGCAGGACCACTGTCAGAATTTCAAGAATCATTAAGTTATAACCCAACAAAATTTAAATTTATAAGGCCACAAGGAGGAATGTCTACAGAAATAAATTACACCAATTTTCTTGGGCCCCACCCACACATCAGAAATCAGTCTTGTACTTTTTGCACTTGTCAACAGCAAATGTATAACAAAATTTCACAATTGTCCACATTCAAACTATTTCTTTAATATTATCTTCAAAGGAGACTTCCATGTTGAACCCTGACATACAAGACACAACCTATCCATCCTCTGATAGCATTAGCCAAGCACCCGTCAAATTATCTTTATCGTCATCAAAACACGCAATCAACGGACCGGCAAACTGAAGACAGAAATTGAGGAGTTCTGCCTGTGAGCCAAGAAACATACTTTGAGAACTCAGTGACATTACTAGGAGGGCCAGACAGATTATACTGGTTTATTTTAGGTTGAGACACTAAATAATACTCATAATAATACACAACCTATAATAACAAGTGCTTGGAACTATTCCAGAATTTGCCAGGCATCGCTGGAGGACACTGAAAAATTATCAACTTGGATGGTTGTTCAGTTTTGATTAAATAAGTTATCGTGCCTTCCACTATTTGTTAAAAACCAACGTCATTAAAAAATTAAGTTATACTAAACACAATTATGTTCAAAAAACACAAATTATTCAACATGAGGTAATGATACCAACACTAATTACTACTAAATGTCATGGTTGAATGGTTAGTACATCTGCTTTATATCTGACAGATCCCAAGCTCAAACCTCAGCCTTGAGACCAGCTACCATGACTGACTAGTTTTATCATTTTCCTCAGTCTCTGCAGGCAAATGCCAGAATAGTACCTTAAACTAGTTTATGACCACTTCCTTCCACATCCTTTCCAATTCACAAATCATCCTCTCGGCACTATGCAGAAAGTATCGCTAAATAAATCGAAAATAACAGTTATGTGAAAGTGAAAAATTGTACCAAAAATACGGTAGCACTTTTAACCTCTAAATTCCCTCTGCTATTACCCACCCTGTCCTCCAGTTCTGTTGGGAAACGAGTCTGGAACTTTACTAATGTTCCTTCACTATAATCTCGTTGCACAAACACTTTCAAACACTGATTACTGGAGTTGACTGCTCGTCCAGCTGCCATATCTTCCAGTGGAGTTGTGTTTGTGTGGTTCTGGAATAGAAATAAACACTAAAATCAAATTATAAAATTTACTGCAACTTCAATAATACAGATTTTCAAGTCACAATTCTATACAACTTCACCGTATGGCCATATTTTGATACAAACTAGTGTTCATATTTAATCGTAATATAAAACATTAATGTAGGTAAAATATGTATTATTCACTTACCATAGGCATGGCCTTTTCTGCTTTCTTTCGACAAATTTTGACGTCTTTATTTACGCACGTTCACAAAAAGAAGTCTTTCGAAATTTCTCCGCTTGTGACTGTGAATGCTTTAACTAATTAAAGACTTTCAAAGCCAACCATATCACTCAATTTCACTACAAAGCACCCAATACCACTGTTTGGAACGATTGGTGAGGGGTACAACCCATAGAGAATTTACAACCACAGATAATGAAGAGTAGTACTGAACACAGATTACAACACATACAAATCGATAACTAAATGTTACAATATGGCAATACTAGGCTATGACGTCACTGATATATTACTCTGCCATCTGTTGACATCTGCAGTACAACTACTGTAAAAACACTCTGGCGCTTAGTTGATAACAACTTTAGC